GCCCTTGTCCGAGATGACATGTCCCAGGTACTGCACCTTCTGTTGGAAGAATGAACATTTGGAGAGCTTCACCTTCAAACCCTCTTGTTGAAGCCGTCCCAACACCACCTCCAACCTCTGCAGATGTTGCTCCACCGTGGATGAGAAGACTACAATATCATCCAAATACAATAACAGTGACTGACATTGCTGGTCCCCAAATATCCTTTGCATCAGTCGCTGGAAGGTGCCAGGGGCATTACAAAGCCCAAAGGGCATCCGGTTCCACTCAAATAACCCAAAGGGGGTACAGAATGCCGTCTTGGGTCTATCCTCTTCAGCGACTGGGACCTGGTTATAACCACTCACTAAGTCCAGAGTCGAGAACCAACAAGCACCAGTCAGTGCATCCAGGGATTCCTCAATCCGTGGCAGAGGAAATGCATCCTTCCTCGTCTTGCTATTTAGCTGGCGGTAGTCTACGCACATGCGCAGACCACCGTCCTTCTTTTTAACAAGAACAATGGGGGAAGCATAGGGACTGCAGCTCTCCCGGATCACCTGTGTCTCCAACAATTGATTAATATGTTCTTTTACCACCTCGTACTCAGAGGGGGGTATACGCCTATAGCGTTGCCTAACAGGTACATCATCCAAGAGGGGAATATCATGGGCCAGCAAGTTGGTACAGCCCACCTCCCCATCCTGAGCTGAAAAGACCGAAATATACCGTCTAAGAAGGGACCTCACCTGGACCTGCTGTTCAATGGACAATGAAGAGAGATCCAAGGCCTCCACCTGGTCCAACATGGCGGGGGCAACTGATAGAGATGCTACATCCGCAATATAAGGCACTTCAGCAACACCAGCAGGTAAACTGACCACATGAACACTATTCAAAGTACCCACAATGGTACGGGGATACAACACCACATCAGTAGAACCCACATTAATTACTGGTACATTAGCAGTGCCTCCTACCACTCGGACTAATGCAGGAAAAGCCAGCAATCCACCAGGTAGGCCAGAGAAGGTAGGTTCAAACAACACAGTAGCACTCGCATACTGCCCCGAACAGGTAGCTGCTACCAACTTCATTGTACCACCTGGGACACGACATACCTTACGGCCCCGAACCCTGACTTTACCTGAAGCGCCACTGGAGAACTGCACCCTAGAACGATGGCATTGTTGCAGTGCCTGCATGACAAGTTCTGGGGCTGTTGATACTGCAGGCGACTGAAATAGGCCCGAACCATGCTGTCCAAAAAGCTCTTGATAACACCGCCGGATCTCCAGGGACCTGCGGGGATGACTCACCTGGGGGATCCCTGACCACTAACACCCCACACTGCGGCATTAACTTACCGCAAAGCTCAACCTCCAACTCTAGATAGCCAATATAAGGAATGGCTAACCCGTTGGCCGCCCGAAGTTGTAGCCAGTGACAAGCCTGAAGGCGTTCTTGACCCCACCGCCCAAAGTGCTGAATAAAACAGCTTTCTGTAATGGTAGACACCATAGACCCAGTGTCTATTAAGCAAGGTACTATAACCCCACCCAACACCACATCCAAATGTGGGCATGGAGTCATCAACTTGGAGGCAGCGCCTAAACTGCTAGAAACCAACCCGGAGCCAGTGAAGGCCCCACCCGAACCGTGGCTCTGCAGTCCGGGGGGCACTAGTTTCCCGACGCTGGCGTTGGGTGAGTCTCTGCCCCAGAGCATGGGGGTACAGATGAAGACTGGAACCGAGGAGCATAAACCCCATCGCACTCCCTAGCAATATGCCCAGGCCGCTGGCAGCGTCTACAAATGATGGAACTGCTGCGAGGTGAACGACTACGCTGACGAGAGCTCTGTAAGAGCTCAACACTCCGGGTCAGCAGGCGCAATTGCTCTTGCTGGCCCTTTAATAGTTCCCTCAGCTCACGCATCTTGGAACCCCGGACGGAATCACCCACACCCCGAGGATTACCCTGTACTCCATACTGGATACCGCAAGCTGATGGAACAGACTGACTTCGGCCACGACTACTCGGCAAACCTTCTCGCTCCCACCTAATCGCCTCACCCCTCACATCAAGTAAGGTGGCAGTGGGTTGCCTACGCACCATCTGCTTTAGCTCACGACGGAGGGCACCATCCAGGACATGCTCGACAAACTGGTCCCTCAGCAAAACATCAGCATTTAAAGTGCCACTGGGTGCGCGCTGCTTCACCCTCTCCATAAGGCCCATCAACGAAAGGGAAAACTCCTGCAGTGTCTCCCCTTCTTGTTGCCTTCGGGAAAAGAAAGCCTCCTGCAAAGCTACATATGGCTCCGAGCACCCATACAACTCCTGCAGAACATCAATTATACCAGCTGGGTCCCCCCGTTCTGCACCAGAGCGATACCTTATCTCCTCACGAGCTTCCCCCTCTAGATGGTCAAATAAAAAGAAAGCCTGATCCGACACAGCTAAATGCCGAGCCCGCATACATGCGTGTACCTCCTCAAGCCACTCACTCAACCCTATACCAGAGCGTCCTCTGAACATGGGGCACTTCCGCTCCCGAGGTACAAACACCACTCGCTCTCCCGGCGATACTATAGGGGTGGACAGAGCTGCATGAGGTGCCGAGGTAGAGGGCGTAGCCCCAGGTTCAAATATACAGGCAGCTTGCTGCTGGCAAAGCCGTTCATTATCAGTCCGCAACTGCAAAACTAAGTTCCTCAAGTCCTGCAATTCCTCCTCCATAATGGGAACCACAGAGACAAGGCTGCACAACTGGGCAACCGGGAGTACCAGACAATGGGTCACTCAAAGGTCCATATATTACTTAAAAATAGCCACCAAACCAACTACTGCTTTGCCTCTTACAATTAACCCCCCGGGGTCGGCGGTCCCGCCGGCGGGA